ACACACACACACACACACACACACACACACACACACACACACGTTTTAAACCCTTCCCATACTCTTGCAATATTCTAAACAATGTTTCTAAACTCTAAATGCTCTAAAAGAGCACAGAATGTCATGAACTCAGCTCTTCCTCCACTGCACCATGCCCAATTCTCCACTGCAGAGTGGAGATCAGCTGATCAGCTGCAGGAGGAAGTTCCTCCTGCAGCTGTGGGCTGCACACAGAGCTAAATAATTTCAAATAATTTATTTTAAATAAAAATTCCATGCCTATCATGCGCCTCATCCATCAATCAGCCAATTGTGTGTCATCCATCCATCCATCCATTATCTTTCGTTTATTCCGAAGTCGGGTCGCGGGGGCAGCAGCTTGAGCAGGGAGGCCTAGACATCTCTTCCAGCTCTTCTGGGAGGATTCCAAGGCATTCCCAGGCCAACTGAGAGACATAGTCTCTCCAGCGTGTCCTGGGTCTTCCCCGGGGTCTCCTCCCAGTTGGACATGCCCGAAGCACCTCTCTAGGGAGGCACCCAGGAGGTATCTTTACCAGATGCCTGAACCACCTCAACTGGCTCCTCTCGACATGGAGGAGTAGCGGTTCTACTCCGAGTCTCTCCCAAATAACTGAACTTCTCACCCTATCTCTAAGGGACGTAGACCAACCATTAAACAGAGAGCTTTGCCTTACAGCTCAGCTCTCTCTTCACCACAACGGACTGGTACAAAGTCTGCAATACTGCAGATGCTGCACCAATCCGTCTGTCAATCTCACACTCCATTTTTTCCTCACTCGTGAGCAAAGCATGTGTCATGTCCAATTGTATTTTGAAAAACTGCAATAGAGCGAGTCTGCGAAAAACGAACTGCAAAGAAGCGAGGGACTACTGTACAGGCAAATAATAGTTACTGCAGTAGACGTTTTCATGCTGCAGAGCAACACAGGACAAGAATTTACAGTGAAATTCACCAATTCCCTAATAGTGTAAAGTTTACATTACACAACTTACCAAACACTTTGTGCAAAATCAGTTTAGTTGTAATTGAGCATAGCAAACAAAGACTAAACTTATTATGACAAAAAAAAGAAATATTTAGTTGTTGTTACCTTTGTACAGGTGAACATGTGGTAGTTCCTGTTTTTCACCGTTATATTCAGCTGCTCATGTGCTTGGCCACCGGCCTTTATCCATCTTTTACATTTTTCCAAACTTCGTTTAGGTTTTAGAAATGGAATAAACTAGATTCCACCCTCTTTACGCTCAGGGTAAGGCGTGTCTGAATTGCAAGTTCCCCACTGACGTCTATTCATTTTTTCCGATGATTTTTTTTACAAAATCCCTCTGACCGCAAAGTATTCATAATGCAAAGTCCCAACAAAGTTGTTGAAAGAAAAGGGGGAACTGCTACAGCAGGTAAGGGTTGTTTCACTTTGGGACAAATTGCAATCGCCAATTAGTCAGTTGCTGATGATCCTACCAGATTGATTGACAGATGGTGTCATGTCAATTGAGTCAAAAATCTCACTACCATCTGTCCTAGACATTTCCATACCTCCAATGGTATGTCATCAGGTCCTACTGCCTTTCCCTTCTTCATTCTCTTCAAAGCTTTCTGAACTTCATACTCACAAATCTTTTCCAGAATTTTTATGACCTTTCTTCCTCTTTCCCTTTCATTCTCCTCATTCATTAGCTCCTCAAAGTACTCCTTCCATCTTCCCATTCTGGTATCCTCATTGGTAAAACATTACCATTTCTATACTTACAAGCCTAACCTGCCGCACATCCCTTCTAGCCCGATCCCTCTGTCTCACCAGTCAGTACAAGTCAGTTCTCCCTCCTTAGTCCATCCCCCCCCTATACAACTCATCATATGCCTCCTGCTTTGCCATTACCTTCCTCTTTGCCCTATGTTGCATCTCCTTATATTCCTGTCTACTCTCTTCAGTCCTTTCACTATCCCACTTCTTTTTGGCAAACCTCTTCCTCTGGATAACTTCCTGCATGTCACTATTCCACCAACAGGTTTACTTATCATATTTTCTTTGACCAGATGACACACCAAGTACCTCCCTACCAGTATCTCTAATCACTTTTGCTGTAGTAGTCCAGTCATCTGGAAGCGCTTTCTTACCACCCAGAGCCTTTAGCAGCTCCTCTCTGAAATCCTCACCACATTTGTCCTTCCTCAGCTTCCACCATTTGGTCTTCTTCTCTGTTTTCTTCTTTTCCTCTTCTTCACAACAACAATCATTCAACACACAACCATTTGATGTTGTCTGACCACACTCTCCCCTGCCACAACCTTACAGTCTCCAATCTCCCATAGGTTTCCTCTTCTACACAGAATGTAGTCAACCTGCGTACTCCTTCCTCCACTCTTATAGGCCACTCCATGTTTCTCCTTCTTTTGGAAATAGGTGTTGACTACAGCTATTTACATTCTCTTGGTAAAATCAACCACATCTGCTCATCCTCCATGACACCTTTCACCAATATGTCCATTCAGGTCTGCTCCAATCACCACTCTCTCCTCTAGATCCTTCCAGAATTTATCTTTCTCCTCTACATCACATCCAACCTGTGGAGCATAACCACTGACAGCATTCATCATCAGATCTTCTACTTCTACAGTCAAACATGTCTTTTTGTTTCTGGACAGACCTCATTTTCCACCAAATCCCCTACTTATCTTTCAAAACCCATCATACAAAATAAACCCAAGGTGTCCAAGTGAGTTTATAGCCATGGAGCAGCTTCAACTCACTCTGCAGGTTAGAGTTTCACTGCTTGTGTTAAGAGACCAGAGCATGGTGAAAGACAAGCACCGCAGCACTTCCTCCAGCATCTGCAGGGATACAAGAAACATCGGAGCAAAGATTTAGAAGGTTAAACAATGTAAAGGTAAGTGTATGGATCCTCAACGGGCAGAGAAGGTACCTCAGGTGGAGCTCCTCCTTGTCGGCTCTCCTCAGTCAGGAGAGGAGACAGCAGGTCGAACAGACTCCACTGACCGAGGTCATGACAGCTGTCAAAGCATGGAGACACAGGCATGAAGACCAAACCCTGTGTTTACAACTCAGTGAAACACCAATGGATTTAAAAGCTCCTGATAGAAAACTGTCTCCATCTTACTTGTGGAATGCTCTGAGTTTCTTTAGCGTTGCAACAATTTCTCTGTTTTTCTCCTCATCAGCAGAAAAAACATCATCCTGCAACAGGACAGAGGAATGAAAACGTTGGTTACGTACTGTAACCCCAGATTCCATGAGTATAAGCGTAGCCCTTTAAGGCTGTCGCTGATGGGTTTATCCCGTTATGCGCAGCATAAGCACTGAAAAAATTTAGTCCACGCCCACCTGCTGTGTGGGCCCCACCCGGTCCGTATAAATTACGTTAAGAGCTGGAAATCGGCTCCCAAAATAGCTTTTTCTTCAGCCATTTAGGAGCCAGTGAGGCCCGATGCTTAAAGGGCTACGCTTATACTCATAGAATCTGGGGTTACAGTACATAACCAACGTTCTATGTCGTATAAGCTTCGCCCTTTAAGGCTGTCGCTGATGGGTTAAGGGCGAAGCGGATGTGGTCCTCGCCTCACTGGGTCCATTCGAACACAGTATGACGCGGAAGCTTGCCCAAAAAAACGTCTTTTCACTCAGCTCCCCGTGTGCATAACTACGCGTTGCGTAATTATGTGCCATGCACAGACGCATGTTGTGTAACTATGCGTACTGACAAAAACATGAACGCCCTGGAAATTTTCAACGGGGAAAGGATGTTGAAAAAAAGGGGGGGGGAGGGGGCATGAACCAACTGGTTCATGGCTGAGTAGTATAAACAGATCAAAAAACAATGAACTGATTATTGATCAAATGAACTGATTGGTAACAATAGTCATGAACTGATTAATGACAATAGAACCAAAACCACAGACACAACTTGTGACTGATAACAACATCTCACACTGTAATGCATGCAAACAGAAGTGAGCTTAAACAGAGTTCCATGAAAAACCAACAATATTCATTCTGTTAGAGCACTAAGGACAGAATGTGTCATGGAACGAGCCGTCACATCACGTGAATAAAAGCGAATGAATGAGCAGGGTGTTGACCACGCAGCCGCAGTGCAAATGTCCTGCATTGACATACCATTATGCAGAGCAGTCGAAGATGCGATAACCCTGGTCGAGTGTGCTTGAGGTTGACAGGAGGCTCTAAATCTGATGCTTGTAGACTTCAGAAATGGCCTCACACAGCCAGTGTGACAAGCGCTGGGTGGATAACGGGCGACCTGCAGATGCATCTCTATAATGCACAAACAGGTGTTGAGTTTGACGCATTACAGATGTGCGCGCTATGTAACACGTCAACGCCCGCACCGGACAGAGAAGATGAAAAGATGCTTCTTCTTCTGATCTGTGTGTGTGTGGGGGGGGGGAACCCCTCCAACGATATCGCTCTTGATTTAAAAGAGCTCGTGATGATTTTAGGCATAAAAGCTGGGTTTGGTCTTAAATCAGCTGAACTACCGTCAGCCTGAATTCTGAGACATGACGGAGCGACAGAGAAGGCAGATAAATCACTCACCCTCTTAGCAGACGTTAAAACCAGTAGCAGGGCTGTTTTAAGAGACAAGAATTTAAGTGAAACCGGATCCAGAGGCTCAAATGGAGCTTGATCAGGGCTCCCAGGACCAGCGTTAAATCCCACTGTGGAGCAAGTGGGCGTGAAGCAGGCCTGCGTCTCTGAACACCTTTTAGAAACCGCTCCATCAGCGGGTGATTAAAAGCTGTTCTGTCTCCGAACCCTTCGTGGCAGGAAGAGATGGCTGCAGCGTACGTTTTAATCGTGCTGAATGCCAACTTCCTATCCATCAGCTGTTGTAGAAAAGACAACACGCCGCCTAATGGGCATGAGGTGGCCTCTACACCTTTCTCTGTACACCAGCGCTGAAAAGCCGTCCACTTTGATGTGTACAGAGCTGTGGTAAATGCAGCACGTGAATCTTGGATTGTGTGCACTACCTCCTGCGGGAGACCCATCCTCTCTAAGCGGAACCGCTCAGCGGCCAGACCCACAGGTGCTGACCTATTTCTGAGTAACTCCTGATCGCTCCTCCTGCTTGAAGGAGAGTGACCTCCCTCTACGGCAGTTTCCATGGACGACCCGACAACAGACGTTGCATGACTGGGAACCATGGTGCGTTCACGCGCTCGGGAGCCACCAGAAGAGCTGTCAATCCCTCCTCCTGAACTCGGTTCAGGAACCGTAAAATCAGAGGAAGTGGGGGAAACGCGTACAGAAGCATTTTGGGCCACGGGCTGTGAGCAAATGCATCCACCCCCAGCGGAGGATCGTCTCGCGGGCTCAGGGGAAAACCATAATTGACACTGAGCGTTCTCTCGTGTCGCAAACAGGTCCACAGCTGCTTTGCCAAACTTCTGCCACGTCTGAACCGTCAGGACTGGATGGAGAGTCCAGTCCCCATGACGTGGGCCGCCCCTGGACATCACATCTGCCCCTCTGTTCAGAACACCGGGTATGTAAACTGCTCTGATGGAGAGCAGGTTTCGGTGAGCCCAACACAGTAGCTTGCGCAATGTGTAACATCTGGGCTGAACGCACACCCCCTTGATGGTTATGTACGTAGCAGTCATCAGGTTGTCTGAGTGAATCAACACATGTTGATTCTGTAGCACGGGAGCAAAGTGTTGAATCACATTCAGCACTGTGCGACACTCCAAAGACATTTATGTGGGCTGATGTGTGGTGGGGCCACAGCGTCCCTACTGCTTGAGATAGGTATGTCCCCCCCACCCCAGCCTGACAGCGAAGCGTCCGTGAAAACTGACACGTGTGACGCGGGTCTGCTGACGGGAACTCCCCCTGACAGAACCGGGGTGTTTCCCCAGAGTCGGAGGTCTGCTCTCACGGAGGGAGGGGCAGTGAACATCCGTCTCTTTTGTTTTACTGGATCCACACGCAGACGCGCAAACCACCTGTGGAGGCGTCTCATGTGTAACAAACCTAGCGGAACCGCTGTGTGAGCTGATGACATCATTCCTAACAGCTTCAAGACGGAAATAGCTGTTACCACTTTGCCAGGTCTACATGGCGGAGTTGACTTTTAAAAGTGTCGAACCTCGTTTGTGATAAACGAGCCTTCATGGTGGTTGAATTTAATTCCACTCCCAGATAAACAATTGTCTGGGCCGGGAAAAATCGAGCTTTTCTTCCAATTTATGGCGAAAACCAGATTTGACAGGTGTGATGTCAACACCTGAGCCTGCATCAGCGCCTCCTGTCTGGAGTGACAGGAGCAGCAGATCATCCAGGTAAAACAAAAACTCTCATCCCTGCTCTGTGTAACAGATACTTCATCCCCTGAAAGGAGAAAAAAACGCAGGAATTTTCTGTGTTTTGGGATGATCGGTATGCGTTTCTCTGGATGTTGTACAACGGCTGTCTGGTTGTCAACATGTGAAAAACGGTCTGTCAATGATCATCTTGTTGAAAAAACTGACAGATCTACGATCGGTCTCATTCCTCCGGTCCGTTGGAAACCGGGAAGTAACGTGAGTAAAACCCTGTGTTTTCTCTCTGTTGGGGAACTCTGGAGATTACTTTTATCAGAAACACTTGGACTTTTGCATTTAGGGATGAAATTTGGACTGATGATGACAGGACCGTTTCTATAACTCTTCCGAACGGAGGGGGTCGGGTTGCAAACTGTAACCTGTAACTATTTGCATAATGCCCTGTCCATCCATCTGACCGGCGAGCATGTTTTAGCCACTCTACGTAATATTCGTGGAGTGAACGTGCGTTTAAGTGATGCGTCACGTTTTGTACGGCGGTTAGCAGTCCGCCCCTCGAAACCGCTGTCATGCATCGCGGGAATGTTTTCTGCGTGACCCAAGGCAAGGCTTCCTCGAAAAAAGGCTCTGAACGCGCTCATGCGCTGCGTTCGGGCCGCGGACCAACCTTCATGTACAGGTGGGCCGGTGTGTGCTGAGGCAAAGCGTGTGACAGCTGATGACGCTATGGGGCTGCGCGTTTGACATCGCTGTGCGAACGTTGAGAGGCGGAGGGCGTGATTTCATCTACGCCGTGCTGTTGGAGTGAAGGCTGCAAGCCCCGCGGGAGCACACGTTTTCTCTGGAGGGACGCGCGGTTCGGTGGGGCGAGTGTCGCTCTTGTGAGAGCGAAGACCTCCACCTGACCCAGCCTGCGGTCCACATTTATACCGATGTGAGCCGGAGAGCACCGAGCAGCTGTGTGTGTGTGAGCCACATCAACACAGCGCCGTTGGATGGAGGCTGTTTCATCCCACGAGTGCGAGTTTGACACCGCTTGGGTGAGGATCGTGCCGCTCGGGATGATAACGAGTTATTTTCGCTTACCACTGTGTCGTGTGATCGACTCGTCATGTCTTGGAGCTACGGTGAGTTTAAAAAACCTTTATTTAAGGACACCGGCTCGTTATGTGTGAAGGATGTGTGCGCAGCCGCTGTGAGTTCATCCGAGCTTACAGACTGGCTAAAAAACAGACACTTTGATCATTGAATGATGATTTATTTCAACCTTCGTGTCACTTACGCACACCCTCCGGAGACCGTCATTTTAAAAACTTCTCCCTCTTGAGCTCTGCGATTTGTTTGCCCAGAGCGCTGTCTTGCAGGCGAACTCTGGGGAAAATGCTGAGCTGCAGGTTGCCGTAATGAAGAGGGCTGGATTCTGACGGGCGGGGCTGGTGGTGGAACTGAGCGAGAGCCGCGGCCGTGGAAACGTCGACGCTTTGCTAGCGACGGTCCCTCCAGCGGGCCGGGGGGCGGGATGAGCCGCCCGGCTTGATGAGGTGGCGCACAACTTCTGGCACCTCCTCCGACTGCTTCAACTCGCCAGCATGGTTTTGAAGCTGCTCTCGAACAGCGCGTCTGCCGTGATGAGCCCTCCATCAGGTCTTTGTGCAGTTTCTCCGGCAGCGAGGGGGAGTAATGAAACCAGGTGGATCGTTGGATCATCGTCATCCACGCTGCAATCCTCGACAGGCAAACCGTAGAAGAGGCCCAAATGTTGGAGATGGCGTCTGCTGCCTTACAGAGGGAGTTCTTTGTCTCCAAGGCAGGTCTACGGCCCTCAGCCCCTTGGACATGCTATATGCTAGCAGCGCCACGTTGTTGCTAGCTGCGGCTGCCTGAAAGCACATTGATGGGCTCAATTGGAGAGCGTGGTCACCGTCTGGTTCGTGTTTCTCCAGAGGGACGGGACGCTGCTCCGACCTGGACAGCTTCGCTCCGAAGCTTCCGCGAGGCTTAGCTCCAGGGGGGTTACCGAGGGATAGCCCCGCTCGGTGAACCCCTCCCCTCTGGTGATGGGTGCGGACTGGGGACCGACTCCTCCAATCTACCAGGAAAGTACCCGTCTGTGGCCTCGCCCGTAGGACGTCCTGTTGGGAGCACAAGGCCATATGGGTCAAGACGGTGAGCCGGAATGGAGCCCAGAAAACAACCTTCCCGCCGGATCATCCGAACTGGCGGGAAAGGCGTAGGACGTAAAAAAGGGTCCTTTCATGTCAGCCTCCTCCTGGGTTACGTCGGGCAACCACTGAGGGCGCCATCGGACGGGAGCGGTGTGATCGCCGATGCGAAAACGAGGTGGGATGGGGTGAGCATTCGCTCAGCCCCCCTCCACCGACACTACGCTCCCAAGGAGGGAATGAGCAGCGGGGGCTGCAGCTGAGCACGCCTATCCTGGAGGAACCATCCGATTCGCTCCGAGGGTCGGCGATAAGAGGAAAAAATACAAGATGGCGTTGTCCAGCGTGTAATGACCTGTCACTGGGAAATATTCCTCGACGCTTACCTTGGAATAGGACTGTTCGTCATCTTCTCCTCAGGGAGGAGAGCTCACCGGACGACCGGAGGTCGACTGCCGGGCCAAGCATCCTTAACAAAGGTTGGTCATCTACACAATTTTCCTTCTTTGTTCTTCTGACAGTGCCATTTTAGCTCGCTGAAGAAAAAATGGGAGCCGATTTCCCGCTCTTAACGTAATTTATACGGACCGGGTGGGGCCCACACAGCAGGTGGGCGTGGACTAAATTTTTTCAGTGCTTATGCTGCGCATAACGGGATAAACCCATCAGCGACAGCCTTAAAGGGCGAAGCTTATACGACATAGAACATCATCTTACTTGTTTGTTATTTTTACAGATCAGTAAAATCCATCCATCCATCAGAAATCAGATCAGTAAAATCACACATCCAAATTAATCGAACACCCCAGATTTGTTGGTAAATAAAACGCTTTTGTAAAATACATATACACTTTTATAAAAACTATATTTTGTCTCCAAATCCAACGCACAAACCATTTACACACTGATATGTTAAACTCAAAACGAGTTCAGCACTAATACTTGGCTCATGATTACTGTTGGTGAGTTTACCAGAGGAGCTTTGAATCAGTGGATGGACACATTGACCCAAACAACAAATTGCATCTGCTGTGTTGATATTGTGTAATTTGTTCAGAAATGTGAGCATTAGTTCAGTGGTGTAAGGAAGCAGGTTGGCATGGTGGTGTAGAGAATGGGGTATTCTGTGTGATGGCAGCATGCAGCTGCAGATGTACTCCAGCACTGCCCTGGTACATGGATAATGCTAATCGTCTTCCTCGTTGTATGGTCTCTCCCTACTTCTTCTGCATCTGACTTGACCTCCTTTTTTTCTATTCTATGAAATTCACCTCTCATCCTGTTTGTTCTCCTCACTCATACTTTTATTGACAACAAATTAACTCCCCTGCTGCCTTTTCATAGCGCTTTTAACCTAATGGGTGTTTCCAGACAGCACAGCACGGTGGCGCAGTTGGTAGAGCTGCCGCCTCTCAGAGAGAAGGTCGCCGGTTCAAATCCTGGCTGGGGGGCCATTCTGGGTGGAGTTTGCATGTTCTCTCCGTGCATGTGTGGGTTTTCTCCGGGTACTCCGGTTTCCTCCCACAGACCAAAAATATGCATGTTAGACTGATTGGTAACTCTAAATTGTCCCTAGGTGTGAGTGAGAGAGTGAATGGTTGTTTGTCTCGTTTTGTCTCTATGTGACCCTGTGATGGACTGGAGACCTGTCCAGAGTGTCCCCCGCTTCTCGCATAATGATTGTTGGACATGGACACCAGTGACCCCCACGACCCAAAAAGGAAGAAGTGGGTAAAAGATGATTGATGGATTTCCAATTACTCTCAAACCTAGTTGGTTCGCGGGTGTGTTCATTTGATTAGCCGGTGCTAAGAATTAGAAAAAGTAAAATAAAAGGTTATATTTTTCTGGCTTTAGGACATAAAGGTGTTTATTGTTTGGTTTTATAGATCAGCAGTATTCCTCACCCTGAGCGATTCCCCCAGCAGCTCTGTCAGCTGGTCCACCCAGCGCTGGACCAGAGAGTCTCGTGCAGTTTTAGCCTCGGAGCACCACGCTGCTTGCTCGCTACACAGACTGAGGTACGTGCAGGCTGCCGCCTCCAGGACGGCAGTGGTCGGGTGGAGGTCCAAAACAGCTGCCATCTCTGCCATCAGACTGAAAACCATCTGTAGTAACAGCATCAGGTGTGACGTTTAACTCTATGTTGTCAGATACATTGTTTTAATCTTCTAAGACTGCAGGAAAAAAAAAAAAATCAACAATTAAAGTTTCAAACTGCTTTATTTAGGGTGCATTCACACCAGCCCTGTTTAGTTCGCTTTAATCAAACCCTAGCTCGTTTTCCTAGGAAGTCCGGTTCGTTTGGGGAGGTGTGAACGCCCCATCGAACTCTGTCACGGAACAAAAAGGCGAACTCTGGCCCGGGCTAAAACCTAGGTCTCGGTCCGATAGAAGAAAACTCCAGCGCGGTTCGAGTACAGTGTGAGGTTGTTTTCACACCTGATAGTCCAGTAGACTCGGTTCAGTTGGGGACCAATATTCATAACATTTTGTTTACATTTGAGCTGGTGCGTTTGCATTCACAATGCACTGTGCAGTCGAGGCAACCTGTTTGAACCAACCTATTCCCCCACTCACCTGTGATGGTGCTGCACCAACAACTACTGAAAGAAACAACACAAAAACCTCTGAAGACACTTCTTCTTCTGGAAATGAAAACAAAAACGGAGTGGCATCAAGTTTTAGCAGTTTTAGGAGTTATATTTTGTCATTTTTCAAAAATGGACTCAGCATGAGCAGAAGATGAGACAGAAGACCATGAAGAATATTATTTTTCACACAAGGCAGCTGACGGCTCCATATAAGGTAAGAGAAATGCGTGTTTGTTTGCTCTGCGCTGTACTCCACTTCTTGCTTGTGGAGCGGGGCTCGGTCTATTTACATTCACACTGTACTGGAACCGTGCTGGAGTTCTCTTCTACCGGACCGAGACCTAGGTTTTAGCCCGGGCCAGAGTTCGCCTTTTTGTTTCGTGACTGAGTTCGATGGCGCATTCACACCTCCCCAAACGAACCGGACTTTCTAGGAAAATGAGCTAGAGTTCGATTAAAGCGGAATAAACAGGGCTGGTGTGAATGCACCCTGAATGTAATCAGACCGGGCCCCGCTCAACAAGCAAGAAGAGGACTACAACGCAAGGCAAACAAACACGCATTTATCTTACCTCATATGGAGCCTTCAGCTGCCTTGTGTGGAAAAACAACATTCTCCATGGTCTTCTGCCTCATCATCTGCTCATGTTGAGTGAGTCCATTGTTGAAAAATGACAAATATAACTCCTAAAACTGCTAAAACTTGACGCCACTTCGTTTTCGTTTTTATTTCCAGAAGAAGAAGAAGTGTCTTCAGAGGTTTTTGTGTCGTTTCTTTCAGTAGTTCTTGGTGCAGCGCCACCACAGGCGAGCGGGGGAACAGGTTGGTTCAACAGGTTGGCTCGACTACACAGTGCAGTGTGAATGCAAACGCACCAGCTCAAAAGTAAACAAAATGTTATGAATATTGGTCCCCAACCGAACCGAGTCTACCGGACTATCAGGTGTGAAAACAAGAAACGTTTGGAATACTTACACCTTAATTATTCTGACTTTTTCAGTCAAAAAAATAACAAAATAGGAATGCTTTTGGCTGTCTTCAAGCCATAAGACTTATTTTATGCCGATAGAAGGAGCCACATCCCCTGACATATGAACACTGGATAAGAAAAGTTATGTGTCATGTTCATTAGGAAAAGATCAGATGCACTGTGAGGGGATCTGTTGAGAGACTTTGGGACACTTGGTGGACATTTATGGCTTATATTGAAATTATGTCAGTGCCTGACTGATATGTGTGCTTGTTTAGCTGATCTGGTGTGGAAGGGGTTTTGGTTGTATGTTTGTTTTGGGTGTGTGTTATTAATGTAACCAAAAAAAATTGATCAAATAAAATAAAAATTAACAAAATTCATAATATTCTCACAACGCTAACTAAGTTTATTGTTGATTATTCAGCACAGTTTACAGCACAGAAGTGTATTATTATTGTTAATATTATTATTACTATTATTATTACTATTATTATTATCTTTTTAATTTCAGCAACAATATCTACAACAGTGGCTCATTTATCAACTTCAAGATTCAGCAACATTAATAGTTAAATACAGCACTATGGACATTTTGGCCAACTTATAAAAAGATATGATGGTAGTGATGTCATTGATCATTTCATGTTGTGTAAAGGGATCAATGGTGGTGCTGACCTGTGTGTGTTCAGCCTCGGAGCAATCTGAGATGAAGAACTGAGGAATCTTCATTAGGGAAGCAACAATGTCACTGCTACATGAAAACTGCACAAACATAAAATAAAAGTAGACATTATTGCAGTCCATTAACAAGGATTAAATTGTGCACTGAAGAGATTTAACAAATCAACAAGCCTGACTGCTACTGGTGGAATAAATACCTTGGAGATTAAGCGAGGAAGCACCACGAGGAGATGTTCAGTGAGCTGCAGACAGTCATCAGTTTGACTTTTCTTTTCTCTGACACTCATCACCTGAAGAAGGCACGTGTAGTTCAAGATAATCTCGTCAGGGTAAAAGTGAAGTAAAATTATCTTTTATTTTATCAAAATCAACCTTCTTGGTTCCAGTCCTCCCAGCCAGCACTGGTCCCTCTGAGGCCTGACGAGCCGCTGCAACCAGAATCTCTACGATCACTGCATGTTCTGCTGCTGTGAAACCTGCATTTATGGTTTAAACACCACCAAAGGAAAACGCATATAGGTTAAGAGTTTTCGTTAACACACTGTATAATCTAATCACACTGTTTATTTTCAATAGACAGGATTGAAAATGATCATTTACACCTCAGGATCAAAATCGTAGAGCCTGTAGTTGGTGTAAATAATTGTTGTTATTGTTTCTGCCGTTCTATTTATTTTTTGTCTTTCAGCTTTTTATGCTTTGACTCTTAGAAATGTTTTTCTTTAATGAATTGGTCTTGTGAGCTTTAAAGTCAGAAATAAGCCACTGACAGGTGTAATTATTGGTAAACAAAAACAACCTCCAATGTAAGATGAGGGGTATAAAAAAGATGTTAAATTGTGATGTGACAGGGCAAAAATCGTGTTGATTTCCCAGAAATATGAGTTCAAACTGTGTTTTTAGAAAGACAGATTTCTTTGTTGCCATTTATTCAGAGCACTGAGAAATCACATTGCTGGGAAATAACAGTACAAAACAAATTCTGTTTTAGTTTTTTGAGGAGGGGAAAATGTTTTATTTCACATTGTTTTGCAGAAATAAGCAAGACCTGCTCCTAAAAAGAAATGTGTATTATAGCATGTGCTACTCTAAAACCTGTTCGTACACCCATCACACCAACTAGACATATCAAATGTTATGTAGCCAAACACTCTTTGAACATTTGTTCCCTTTTCTGCAAGAAAACAGCTTTGACGGTTCAGAACAAGTATAAAAAACATCTGGATGTTTGATGTGAAGACATTAGCAACAGATGAGCTGAACCCTGTGAGTTCAGGGGTCAATGGATTTCACTTGATACCATTAAACTCTTTAATTGAACTCATCAGACTCTCCATTGTGTTCTACGTTGATGTATCACTTGTGTACTGGTTTCTCTTGAAAGAGGGGGTTAATTTATATTAAATCTTAGATACACATTTCCCTACCTGTGTTGTGTGAGGAGAAGGGGTTCTGCAGCAGTGCAGCTGTGAACGAGGGCCAGTCCTTCAGCAGAGCTCCCCCACAGTCCCACAGACTGTCCACTAGGTACACCACATGCTCGTGCAGCTTAACATGTACACACACAAACACTTTAGCATGACTGACAACGTAAGACTGATTAATAGCACTTTGAAGGCAGGTAAAATGTTTAATTCTTAACATACAGTTTGTTTTCACCTCAGACTCCTGATAAAACTGGAGTAAAACTTTAAATCTGGCAAAGGTTTGGCATATATGGGCCTCCTCACTCATTTCATCCTGGATATCAGAGGCGGTGGCTGAAGCAGCAAGAATCCTGAAAAGAAGAAAAAAAAACATGTACTGTAATTTCCGGACAATTGAGAGCGCCTGAATATAAGCCACGCCCACTAAATTTAAAAAGAAAAAAATTGGTACATTTATAGACCGCACTTGTCTATAAGCCACTGTGTCTATGTTGTAACTTGAAATATTTACAGAGAAAGACTTTTTTTTTTTTTACTTCTAATTAAATACATACCGATAACATACACAAATACGTACGGTAATTTTTTTTTTTCCTGAACAGTGCTTGTAGCACAGCTGGTTAATAAAAAATACTTTAGCCTACCAGGAAGTCATTGATCGCTACGCATCTTCACCTTCCTCCTGGATGAAGGACAGCTTGTGCTGTCATTTTAAACGCATGATTCACAATTGTTTTGAGTGGCTGCAAATACTCCCTCCCCCTCCCTGAGGGCACAACGGGGATGAGAGAATGTGGACCAATAAAACCAAGTTTCATTGGTCCACTGTGACATGTTTGGTAACTTCATTGGTCAGATTTTTTTTTTTTTACCTTTATTTGGGCAGATAGTCTCATTTGAGTCACAAGGACCACTCCACCCCACCCCCCAAGAGAGACGTGTATTGGGCAGCTATGTAAGCGCCCGGGTGTGACGAGGCTAAAATGTTTGTGATATGGAGCTTGTTAGCCCATCAAAAAAAAAAAAAAATCCATAAATTAGCTGCAGCGTTGTGGAAGTTGCTGTGTTCAAAGCATGTGAAAAAAAAAAAGTAGCGGCTAATAGTCCATAAATTTCAGTACTATTCCCTGTAATTACTAGCAAAGTGTTTGTTTAATAGTTTGTTTGTTTGTTTGTTTATTTGCTGAGAGTTAAAGACTTTGTACCTCGAGAAGAGTAGCTCCCCTGCAGTGGCTGCAAGAGGCCGATGGGACGAGTAAACAAACCGGAGCAGCTGCTTGTAGTCTTCCTCAGTGAGAACATCATCACACATTCTGGGAAGAGAAGAGAAGTTTGGTGCAAAACAAAACAAAAAAAATCAAATAAAGACAATCTGATTAAAGGTAATTAAAAAAATAACTCACTTGGAAATGAGTAGCAGCAGTTTCATGGTTTGGACTGCCACCTCATTGTCCTTATCCAGCGTCATGGACACAAGACGGTCCTGGTACACAAACAGGTGAAAAACGGTGATGAAGTCAGATCTTCAGGAGACATATTAACTCAAACTTTAAACATAACTTGCTATTTAAACAATCTCTCAACTCAGCTTTGCTAGCAATAAATAATCCCCTGGTAAAAAACAAGAATCTCAAACTGAATATGAGAAGGACCCTCCATTCCACAAACGCCCAACTGATCAGCTTAAAACAACACAAGCAAGCAGGGTCTCCATTCTACGCACCGTGCTAGGCAAAAGTCTTGAGTCGTCCATTTAAGGGAAAAATACCAAGAGACGATCAAAGCTAACACATAGCTCAAGATGTAATATACAGTAAAAACACCTACCGTATTTTCTGGCCTATAAGTCGCACCTTTTTGCCTAATCTGCATAACCTGCGACTTATACACCAAAGCGACTTATTTATGTTTTTTTCCCATATTTATAAAACAATTTTTGACTGAGATATGACCGTTTTCATTCATTCTGACATGGAAAATATTTAACACTACCATTTTCAGCCGCTAGATGGCACTTGAGTAGTATGGCATGCCGTTGTGTCATGTAATAGGTAAAAGTGGCTATTGATGACACAATTGGCTTGCCATAGCCTGCCACCTTCATCCAATTCTGGGATTGTGCCAGGAGCAACCATCAAATCAACTTCAATTTGCTGCACCACCCCAGCGAAATGCAGCTAATTTGCCCATGAAAGTGCACTTATTAAGTAAAAGTTAAACTGAAGCACACCTTTACTACGATGTCGAGCAAACAAATAATTGTTTTTAGGTGGTTATCTTGTTAAAGTTCAAAGAAATGCACAGCGAGTCCTCCCTCTGTGTGCTTCTGAAGCCGCAAATCGGCTTTTGAAATGCAACTGATTTGACCGTCAAACATTTATTAAGGAAAAGTTAGACTGAGACACACCTTTGCTATTATTTAGAGCAAATAATTGTTTTTAAGTGTTAATCTTGTTAAAATTTTGTTAAAGTCCTGCCATGCACGCTCCCTCAGCCCCCATTTGGCAGCCAATCGATTTTTGGTACAACACCAGCCCACATTTCCGGGTTGTCAGCGGTGACGCATAATAGATGCCACTTATACAGTGAAGCGACTCATTTATGTTTTTTCCTAATTTATTCAACATATTTGGACTGATGCGACTTATACGGCGGTGCGACGTGTACGGCGGAAACTACGGTATATACTTGGTACATTTAAGTTTCCAGTTGGATTACCTTGAAGCAGCTGGTGAACAGATTCAGTTTTGGCAGTAAAGCGGGGTTGCTGTACAGACCCTGCAGACCTAACACACACTTCAGACGCACATCAGGTATCTGAAATATATGTATAAAATCATTTATCTTGGTTTCAGTTCTAGAAAAGCGGCGTCAAGCTCTGATACTCAGTTTCAGTAAATCCACCAGCCTTTATCAGTGACTTTAATATTATTTCTACGCTATTTCTCACCTTGTCATGCATCATCCAGCCCATGTACTTGAGGTAAGTGTCGTTGAGAAATGCCGAGCTGTAGAGCTTCATCCATGAAGCCAACTCCTCCATGCACATGGAACGGATTTCTGGAAGCATGTCACTACACAGACACACAAACAATTACTTGACAAAGGTAACTAAAAACCAGCTTTCTTTTTAAGGAACGCATTTTGTCCAAGGTTTTAAAGATTGTCTGTGCTCTACTGGTATCTAAAAATGTACTGAGGATGACTTTAGCTACTACCCCACCAAAATCTAGCTCAGTGTCTCTAAAAGTGAAAGAGTAAGAGCCATATTTGTGGTTGCTAAGTTCAAGTAGCTATAGTAGCCATCTTGAAATAGGTTGACTCAAAAAACAAATGTGTTGTAAATGTACATTTAATTAGGCCTGTCACAATAACAAATTTTGCTGGGCGATTAATTGTCTCTGAAATTATTGCGATAAACGATAATGTTGTTTGAAATTTGACAATAATTAATTATTATCAAAGTTAAGAAGAAATGTTTAATTTGTTTTGTGTGTAGTACCTTTTTTCAACCACCAGATGGCAGTATAAGGCTGTTTGAACTGAAGGATGGATAGTGAGGGAGCGAGCAGCGTCTTTTTAAGAAAAATGGGAGGGAGGCCCCTTGACGTGACACGGGCTGTCTCTCCTTTCTGTTTTTCAGTTCTCAAAATGGCAGACGCTCGGTGTGGTTTGAGCTCTTTAGCATAGCATTTTTCACATAAAGTGTTTAATTTAAAAAAATCATTAAACAAGTTCTTTACTACTTTTTACACAAAGACATGGGTTTCAAACGTGACTTTTGGAGTTCGACAAGACGAAGGGTTTTTTTTCCCCAAGGTCGGCCAGTTAGCTTAGCTCGTAGCTTAGCTTCAGCTTTGCTGCTTTTAACAATCAAAAAACATGATTTTGGATGGTTAAAACAGATTTTAAAGATAAAAGACAAGGGGAAGGGTCAGTGAAGAGCACCGGAGTTGAGCCTTTTGTCATCCAGTGCCTTCAGTAGAAAGAGAGACACGAAGAAATGATAAAAACAATAAATGAAAATGAGGTTGATAATTTTCATTTATCATATATCATACAATTAATTTATTTATTGTTTATTGCAGCAGGTCTACATTTAATGATTACTTTCTGAGTTCATTCAGATCTGTCCAGTGATATCAGGACATTTGGCTAACAAAAAGTACTGATTAACAGTTATTGCTAAAGTTTTAAACCAAGATCTTTTGTGATCTATTTGCACGTAAAGTGTGTGTTGAGGATGAGCCTCAGCTACTACCACACCACACTGTAGCTCAATATACACAAAACTGAAAAGGTTACGACATTATCAGCTGTTTGTGTATTGTTGTGGTTATTTAGCTATGGCTGCAACCTGGAAATGGGTTGACATCAAAACTTAATCAGTTTTACATTCAATGAATATTTTCTGAGCTTTTTATTAAAATCCATGCACTATTTCATGAGACATTTTGCTAACAGACAAACCACAAAAACATGCACACACAGACGCTAGCCTTTCATGACATGAGGTGATAAGATTACTGGTACATTGTTCTGTCATTCAGACTGTAATGTAAGAAGATACACATTAAGAGAAACAAATACCGATATCTCTTCAGAAAGACACCTTTAAAGATGGCGTCCATCATGCTCTCTATCTCCGCTCGCTTTTCCTGCAACTTTTAGAAGCCAAAATTATTAAAGATGACTAATTCAAACAGAAAAAAACACAATCCACCAAACACTGAGTCTTACCTCTGCAAGCTTTTTCTGGATTCTGTCCAACTGCTGTGAGCTTTTCTGCCTGGAGCTCTTGGTCCTCTGCACCTCGTACAGTTTCTGGCTGTTTTCAACCCCAACGTTCAGGCTCACAGCCACGGTCACCAGAGCGCTCACCATCTTCACTGCTGCTCAGACACATCAACAGTCAGAGCACAGAATAGTTTGCTCTGCACATATGATGCACATATGCACAATGTCTCTTACCTGCGAGTGTGCACGTGTGTCTGAAAGCTCGCACGTATGAGTCCGACAGCTCGGAGAACAGCAAGATCAGGCTGCTCATCAGGTAGCTGTCAAAGATGACGCTGTGCTGACACCGAGTCACCAGCACCGACACAAAGTCACTGAACTCGGAGTGAAACCAGCGAGCGGCTGGTCCAGACTGCACGAGGGGATACTCTGCACTGTCCTGCAGTGGAGAGGGAGACATGCAGTGGAGACGAAGACATGCAGTGGAGACGAAGACATGCAGTGGAGACGGAGACATGCAGTGGAGACGGAGACATGCAGTGGAGACGAAGACATACAGTGGAGAGAGAGACATGCAGTGGAGAGGGAGACATACAGTGGAGAGGGAGACATACAGTTTAGAGGGAGACATACAGTGGAGAGGGAAACATGCAGTGGAGAGGGAGACATGCAGTGGAGAAGGAGACATGCAGTGGAGAGGGAGACATACAGTGGAGAGGGAAACATGCAGTGGAGAGGGAGACATGCAGTGGAGAAGGAGACATGCAGTGGAGAGGGAGACATGCAGTGGAGAAGGAGACATGCAGTGGAGAGGGAGACATGCAGAGAGAGCACCAAGTCAACAATGTCTTTCCTCCTGATTTTCATTTCTCCTCCAGCAGGACATCTAATTACAGAGCATGCAGAGTGCAGAAGCACACTATAAATCAGCTGTGAGTTACTGTTGATCAAATGTTTCAGTGAGCATCAGCACCCTGTTCTGAGGAAAGTGTGAATTTTTTGCAGGTTTCAGTACTTTCTGTCCAAGCTTGAATTTAGATCAACAACGACCCTCAATTGTACTTTTATCCACGAGTTCCACACATCGTTGCTACAAGACATGGTTTGAATTCTGACAGATGGTGTTAGAGAATAACCTCATGTTCACGTCACCTGCTGCAGTAAAGCTGTTCAGTGACTTTTGACTCCAACTTTGACCTGACTTAAAATAAAAAAATAAAAAAACTGAGCAACAATCAGCTGAACTCAGTCAGGGCTGGAGTGGGACTCATTTTCAGCCCTGGAGTTTCAGACTCAGACTGGCCTACTTTAGATCAAGAACTATTATAAAATCATGTAATTATAATGTTAAGTCTACAATAGCACACTGTTCTGTAAATCCTTGTAATTCAGTGTATTTTTCTAAAATATTTCCAATTCAGTGCAAGTCATGGTTGCTTCACAATGTAGATTTATTTCAACGAGTGCTCATCTCCAACATTATGCTCTACAACTCATCCTTTCCAACAATATTAGAATCGATATTCCGTTCAAATAAGTGTTCACATGTGTTCAAACCTTAAAAATGAAATAAAAGAATAAAAACCAATATTAAATATTAAATTTAAAAAATAAAATAAGGTGTTGCACTTTCTAATAACACTATCAACTCTTTTTCCTCAGCAATGAAACTGTTCCATCACTATGGAAGCCCATTTCCGTCATGAAAGAAAAAAATAAAAGCTCAACAGGAAGTCATTATTTCGAGTTTAAAGTCATAATTATGAGAATAAAAGTCATAATTGAGTTTTAAAGTCATAATTACGAGTTTTAAAGTCATAAATACGAGTTTTAACGTGTTAATTATGAGAATAAGTGTCATAATTTTGAGTTTTAATGTCATAATTACGAGAATAAATCAGTTTTGAGTTTTAAAGTCATAATTATGAGAATAAAAGTCATAATTACGAGTTTTAAAGTCATAATTATGAGAATAAAGTCATAATTTTGAGTTTTAAAGGCATAATTACAAGTTTTAAAGTCAAAATTATGAGTTTTAAAAAGTGTTAATTATGAGAATAAGTCATAATTTCGAGTTTTAAAGTCATAATTATGAGAATAAAAGTCATAATTTTGAGTTTTAAAGGCATAATTACAAGTTTTAAAGTCAAAATTACGAGTTTTAAAAAGTGTTAATTATGAGAATAAGTCATAATTTCAAGTTTTAAAGTCATAATTATGAGAATAAAAGTCATAATTTTGAGTTTTAAAGGCATAATTACAAGTTTTAAAGTCAAAATTACGAGTTTTAAAAAGTGTTAATTATAAGAATAAAAGTCATAATTTCGAGTTTTAAAGTCATAATTACGAGAATAAATCATAGTTTTAAGTTTTAAAGTCATAATTATGAGAATAAAAGTCATAATTACGAGTTTTAAAGTCATAATTATGAGAATAAAAGTCATAATTATGAGTTTTAAAGTCATAATTTTGACTTTTAAAGTCATAATTCTGATAATAAAGTCATAATTTTGAGTTTTAAGGTCATAATTACATGTTTTAAAGTCATAATTATGAGAATAAAAGTCATAATTGTGAATTTTAAAGTCATAATTTTGAGTTTTAAGGTCATAATTACATGTTTTAAAGTCATAATTATGAGAATAAAAGTCATAATTGTGAGTTTTAAAGTCATAATTTCGACTTTTCTAATTTAATTTTGAAGTTTGTCCCTTGCCGGACACCGTGACTCTACAGGGATGCAACTTCCTGTGAGACACCAGTAGTTTTCCTGCATAGTACATGGATTCATTCATTCAATGTACATCCCTCTGCCTTCATACATCAATCCTTTTAAATAAAAGGTATGTAATAATGTATATATCTTTTCATCGCCACTTTATATAGCATTTAGTATCAAAGCCCATTTCCGCTATGAAATAAAAGCCCAACAGGAAGTCATAATTAAGTTTTAAAGTCATAATTACGAGAATAAGTCATAACTATGACTTTAAAACTCATAATTATGACTTTAAAACTCATAATTATGACTTTTATTCTCGTAATTAGGACTTTAAAAGTTGAAATTATGACTTATTCTTGTAAATATGACTTAAGCTCATAATTATGAGTTTTATTCTCGTAATTATGACTTTAAAAGTCAAAATTATGACTTTGAAAGTCGAAATTATGACTTCCTGTTGGGCTTTTATTTTTTCTTTCATGGTGGAAATGGGCTTCCATACATACAACTCAAATTTCACAATGTGGGGGTGCTGTGGCTGAGTGGTTAGAGCAGACGTCCTCCAATGCGAGAGTTGGGGGTTCGAATCCACCAGCAGTCACATGCTGAAGTGTCCCTGGGCAAGACACTGAACCCCTCATAGCCTCTGATGTATGTCCCATCAGTGTATGAATGTGATCTAAAAAAAACCCTGATTAGTCTCATTAGAATGATTTGTTCAATTAGTTTTGTAGAGATCTAGTAGAGTGCTGTATGAATGGGTAAATGAGGACACAGATTGTAGTGTAAAGCACTTTAAGTATCTTGAAATAAGATAGAAAGGCACTATATAAGTGAAGTCCATTTACCATTTACAAACACGAGAACATGAGTTAAAGGGCAACGCCAACACTTTTCTTTACATCAGAACGTCATTTGCTGCTGTGACTTCTAGAATCACTCCACTCAAGGTGGCTGTATGTCGGAGCAGCTCTTACATCCATTCTCAGATATTGCTTTTGAAAACTTTAATTCCTCTTTTTCTGGATGTAAATCGCTTTTGTGGATGAAGATTTCATTGATGTCAGAAGCATTTGTAATGTGGGGGGTGGGGGTCCTCCCCTAGAAAATCATGAATGTGAAAAAATATTTCAAATCTATCGGAGAAAATTGTGTGTTGAGCCTTCAATCAGTGAAAGATTATGGACAACAAACGTAAAGAAAACTGACTGCATTCATGGGCCATGTGACAGTGAGGATCCATGGAAAGGCCAGAAACCTCTTGTACTGCAGACCAGCACCCTGAAACACAGTCGCACAAATTCTGTTCAGAAAACATGGCTCACATAGTTCTACAGCAGAAGAACAGGAATTATCGTTTTACCTCATCGAGCTCCTCGACCATCATACTCCTGACATCTCTGTCCTCTCTGCTCTGACACATCTCTGCTGTGACCACACCTTAAAAAAACACAACAAAACCAGCTGTGTGAATTGTGTACGTCTGAGAGGATCACCAGTTTACTGTAGGCCTGCCTTTGCATCCGCAGCACTGGATGAAGAAGCTGATGAGGTCGAGGAGAGAAGAGTCTCTGTCTGTCAAATATGCCTCAATCCAGTCATCAATCACCACCTACATCAACAAAGAGTCCGTTTTTTTAGTGTGATGTGGCAGATCTGTTTGATTTTAATAAATATCACTCTTCCAGACTCAAGAGGTCACACAACAAAACATCGAGCCCACGCTTCAGATGCATGATCAGATCATGACGTCACTTGTCTTACCTCTACAGCCCTTCTGCCCAGGGTCATCACCTCGAACAGGGTGACAGCCTCCACGTGTTTCTGTTTGACACGTCTGCCCTGTGCTCTGCTAATGCCACTGCAGCCGGCCATGGCCCTTTGACTCTTGTCATTCTCGAACACACTGCGAGATCTTCGCCGCCGCTTCTGCACGGTTAAATCATCATGAAGCGTGAAACATGGTCAGAATTAAAACTCTCTCTTGCCTTGACAGTGCTGTAGTTTATCAAAATTACTTGTTTTGTTTGAAAAAAACAAGCACATGGCACACAAATCAAAATGAATCATTGCATATTCTCATGACAGCTGAAACCTACAGTCTTCTGCCTGTTTTCACTCCCAGAGTCGTCCTCTGGATGAATGACAGCTGCAGAGCTGGTTCCCTCTGTGTGACCATTAGTGCTGAAACGCCACAACAACAAAAAGTCCCAAGTGATCACAGGAATACAGGAGGAGTGTGAGGGGAAATGCATGCTGTGAAGCACTGACAGGGCTCACTCTCTCATAGTGAGTCTTACTTTTGTTTTGAGGACCTGGATGAAGCAGCAGCTGAAGGCTCTGGTATCATGTCCTCCTCAGATCTTCACACAGGACTCCAGTGTGTCTCTGCAAACACGGTGTGAACAGAAAATATGAATGTTTAATCAGTGGCTGACAGCCCTTCCTTTTAAAATGATATTTTGTTATGTCCCCCTGGAATAGACCTTTGATTGAATGAACCAGATTAAAACTGACCAGGAGACGAACAGGTCGCTGCTAAACCCTCAGACTTACCACCTTTACATAGCCTTATCCCTCTGTAACGATAATTCGTTTCTGGGTTTCGTTGTGACTAAAAACAACTTCAATCATTCCTCGCATTTCTCGCATCTAAACCTAAACTCTCACAGTCAAGTTGTCTTACAGCCTAGCTCGAACGTGATTGGCCGCCGCGCTGAAACGGAGTCACGTGATTGGCTACTCGGAAACGTCAGTCCGGACGCAGCCCCTGGCGTCTGCGTCCTGCATCTGTATGAAAACAGACTCAGAACCTTAGAATAACAGTGACTCCCATATAATCCTGTATTAGCTTGGTAGTGTTGTTTCTGTAAAAAATATTTTGCATCACGTGCAAGCGCTTTGTTTTAATTAACTCCACTGTTGTTAATCCAGGAAGGAGCTGTCATGGCATTTCCTATTTTCTTTGGGTTTGTCAGTCGGCAAGCAGGGGACGCCATAGATATATAAAAGCTAGATCCCTCATTGGCTGCTGCGTCGCAGGAATTTCGGCCGCCATCTTGGAGCGGTCGTCCTTATTTGGTTAAAGCAGAAGATACCATACCATACCACTTTATTTATAAAGCACTTAAAACAACTAAAAAGCCAACCAAAGTGCTGTATGTGTATATATATATATA